GTTGCTCAAAGCCTCATCCAGCCTGGCCTTGAACACTTCCAGGGATGGGGCATCTACAACTTCTCTGGGCAACCTGTTCCAGTGCCTCACCACCCTCAGTGTAAAAAATTTTTTCCTTATATCTAATCTAAATCTGCTCTATTTCAGTTTAAAGCCATTGCCCCTTGTTTTATCACTACATATCCTTGCAAAAAGTCCCTCTCCAGCTTTCTTATAGGCCCCCTTCAGGTACTGGAAGAGTACCTGAAGGTATCCTCTGCTCTGATATTGCTGGAGCATCCTAAACTGGCTCACTCCCAGCAGCATGGGCAGAAAAGGTGCACGTTATGATGCTCCAATTTTATACCATTCTTTGGTATAATCACAGTTCTCTAATAAAACTGGGGACATGCAACTAAATCCAGACATAAAGAATATATATTTAAGCAGGAAAAAGCATGGATATTAACCACCTGCTCCAGTGACAGCAAATTCCTAAGCTGATATTTAATGCATTTAACCATATTACAAAGGCTCACCTGAATCCTGTATATATAGATTCCTAAATGATCTGTAGAATAAATATTTACATACTTATATTTCCCATGAAATATAGGATAATTTAATTTAATTTCAGAGATAGAGCAATAACACCTAAAAACTCCAGCCAATAACAAGCCAGTTTTATTATTAAGCAGAATTAAAACAGAAAGGTAATGAGAGGTAGTCCTCTTCCTGTGGACTATTTAGTCTAAAGAAAGACGACTGATAAAAAGCAGCGGAAAGGAAGCATTGTTAGATGGGAAGCTGAAGGACAGATGGGTTGTCTGATTTGCCAAAGAAGGGACAGGACTTGTCTATGTAATATTTTGTAGATAGAAATGGCTATGTGACTTCAAATCTGGAACTGCCTCATGATCTCACAACTTGGAGAATAATAGGACCATCCCTTATTTACTTGTCAAAATTACTTGAAGAAGATAAGGGAGTAAACAAGACAGAATTGAGGAATCTGCACACATGCTCTAACCACCGAGATCCCTTCATTTCTCAGAGAGTTCCACAATGTTGGATCATTTATGATTGCAAGCATTGTCCCACTTTCCTCATTAGGTATGATTTGATTCATTCTTCCATTGCCCTTGTACATCTTAATTACAGGAGGCAGAATTTTTTATTTCTGCAGTAATTATCATGATACAGTGTTAATATTTATTGATTCTCAAGTATTGAAGTACAGATTACTTTCTATAATCATTTGGACATAATCATCAAATTCAGCACAGATTCATATATAGGTTGATATCGTTCCAAACAATGTTTGTGGGAAAATGAGCTATGTCTGAAAAAATTGCTCGATCCTACCACAGAAAAGGTACTTAAGTCTGTCAAAATTGCATTAAGAATTGATTGGAGACCTATGAAATGCAGCTTTGTACCTGGCTCACGCACGTTGTCACCTCTGTACCTCCAGCTCCTGCTGTCTGCAGCATCCTGGGAGTGATGGATGCTGAGTCTGATGGCAAACCCTATGGTCCAAGAAAGATTCACAGCCTGGGGGAGGTTTACTCTAAACTGGCTGTAGCCTGGTCTCGAGATTTGAACACCCATTTGCAGCTATGGTGCATTAGGTGCTTTCCTGAGGGAATTTTCCATGCTTTTCTGGGGCATTTTATCAGTTTTAGTGTTTTTTGAAAGAAATTTGATACGTTGCTCCGAATCTGTGACACCTGGTACAAAGCAAAGCACAGTGAGCAGGAACGATTTGGAGATTGGCTTTGAAAGCCTACAGCTGAACTGAACTAAGACATTCATGTGAACATATCCTGCTTGTCCCTACACACCAACAGTAAACAGCATCAAGCTGGCTTTTCCCAGCCCACAGGAAATGAATACATTTTTATTTCCTTCTTAACAAATTTTTCTCATATGGGAATGTACACGATGGAGAAAAACAGATCTTTTATAGGTATGGGGTTTTTTACTCTAATAGAAAAGAGTTCTACTATGGATATTATAAGCAAACATATGGGTTACAGTTTGTGGATGTTTATTCTCTGCCTAGTAATTCTATAGGAATTCCTCAACTTCTATTAGATTTTTTCATTATTCATTAAGAGTTTAATCTGTAAAGTCAATTCCATTGAACATTTCTGGTGTCATCATCATTCAATTCATCTCCACCTCTCCATCTCATGATGACCCTGTGTCAGGAAAGTTTCTTGACTGAAAACAGCACTCCTGGATGAATTTAAAAATATGTGTTCGAGTTCCAGCAAGAACAACAAGCACTAACATTTAAGTGAACAAAGGCTACCTAAATCATGCTTGTTGCAGAGGTAGATTTAAAATATTTTTACCTTTTTTGTGACTGAGAGACTACCTTTTAGCCTGTGTATTCAGCCTTCCCTTGAGTGGTTACTCTAAGGATCACTGAGGTAAACAGGGTTACTTATATGCTTCAAGTCTGACATGTCTAAGTACTTTGTGAAATGGGTTGAAAATCACTTTTAAACTTGACTATTTTTTTAATACTGGCATTATTTAACACCATATCATGGTACATTAAAGAGTAAAAATTGTATTTTTTTTTTCAGTTTTTGAGATATTCCCATTAACTACAGAGTCTTGAGGTATTGTGAACTGACAGTCAGACGTGGCAGATTAGACTTGCCCCTATATAGCAAAGTGAGGCAGTTAGTAACTCAAGGACATATTTTGTCCAGCTGCAGAAAGTATATTAAAATTCTCACAACAGCTAATTCCCTCACAACTCCGTTGACAATTGCCAGCAGCTTCTATGAAAAGCTGAGCAGCCTCATTACAAATCACCAGGTGAACTCAATGAGGTTCAATGTTTAAAGAAAGTCAGAATAATAATTCTGTAAAATTGAAGCACAAACCCCAGTGGAGAGTGTTCCTGTAAGAATTAAGTTATTACATTTTTAAGCAATCACACATAATAAAACAGCTGAAATATTGTTTCATAATAAATACTATTGCTGATGCAAATCTGATTCATTCTAATGGCTACTATAATTAACTGCATGGTTTGTGAGCTGTTAATTTTGAGGATGAATAATTGGTTAAACCAAGTTTTGTGTATTGCTATGTAATACGTTTGTTCAATTTTCCACTTAATTTCAATTAAAATGGGTTTTACATGTGCTCCACTGTTACAGTTTTTATGCCTATTATTTTTAATTAGGGAAAAGCAATACCTTGGTATAACAGAACAAATGATCAACATCGACTGTTTTTTCCAAGTGTTTTTTCCATTAAAGATATTTCAAACTCATATCACTTTAAGTATCCAAAATGTTAATCACTGCTTCTGAGGTTGAATGGAACTGGGAGTCCCAGCTCCTGCACAAAACAGAAGGGAAAAAAAGATCTCTTGGTCTCCTCATTCACTTACTGACCACTACACAATGATTTTCCGTTCAAACTATGTATCTTTGCTACCCTTCCTGATGTTTTCAGCACTCTAAAATGTTTTAGTGATTAGAGCTGCGCGGGGATGTTCACCACTGAAAAGGTGATCTTGTAGGTGCTTCTATTTCACGGTGGGATCAACCGCCAGCTGGAAATTCCTACCCATCTCCACAAAAGGTGCCTAGACAACTGACTGGATGCTTCTATTCTGGATGGGTGGTGTTAAACTAGGTGACTGCCACTGTCAGAGTCATATATTAGTCTTCATTTCTTTCAAGAAAAAACTTGCCTGTAGATCAGTCTTTTAGTGGCATAAATTACTTCCCACATCATGCTGTCCCTGCAGCTCAGAAAGGCAGGTGAAAGCTCCATCCCTGCCACTTGCCAGTGCCTCTGTTGCAGGCAGACTCCCATAGAGTGGGCAGAGAGGGTTATTTGCATTCCTTTACTCCTGGCTGCCCTCGCACGGGACTCCCTAGCTCCTAGGGATTGCTGTTTCACTGATAAAAAGAGAGCAAATGTTCTAGCGGAGCTCTTTGTTCGTTCTCCCTCCAGAGCCAAATCTTTTCAGGTGTCTGACAAATTCCCAGCACCGTTGATGCAGTTGTTTTAGTTCTGACAGTTCTCACTTCCCCAGTGTTAAAGATTTGGTGGCTGGAGTGCAGCTGGCAGCTTTGCTGATGACATATGAGGCAGAAAACCTCCAGCCTACTCTTCCTTAGCTGGACTGGTGCTGCCAACAGAGCACATCTGTGTCATTAATAACACTGGGTTATTAAAAAAAAGGCTTTCAGGGTGCTGGTCAATGAATTTTTATTGTGCATTTCACAGAAGCTTAAATAGAAAATAGAAATCCAGACATTATATTTTAAAAGTCAAACAAAGTAAGGGTAACCAATTCTGACTAAACAGAGTCATTGCCTAACCCACATCATCAAACTCTTCACAGACATTTTAATGCATTTATCTGCATTGCATCACTATCCTCACTTCGGAAATAGAGAGGAACAAGAGACATAGAGGTAGGAGAGCTATTAGCTCAGGAACTATTGGTACCGCAAAGGAGTTGTGCCTAGGTTGGTCTGTTTGCACAAGATTGGTTCCTACGTCTCTGAAACAAAAGTGTAGCCTACAAGGTCACTACAGAACAGACCTCGTGTTAGCATTTATACCTCAACAAAAGATTTCTGCAGATTTGGAGAGATTTCTGTGGGTAGGGAGAAGTTTCTGAATTCCTGAAAACATTCTATTATAGTGTTCATGATGCATGCTTTAAAAAAAACACATGGAAGAGAAGTAGTTGGAAAACAACGTATGTGAAATATGGAGCTGCACAGAGAAAAGCATCAGCTGGATAGTGAAATATTTAAGGGGAACCTCTTCTTTCATTCCTTTCTCTCTTTTTTTTTTTTTTTTTTGACATGGTGAGTGTGTGTACCAGTAAGTGCATCTACTACGAGCTGTTTAAGACACTTTAGAAGACTTTTTCCATAATTAATAACCAACCCACCAACAGATATCTGAAGATCTGATGGCATCTCAGCCCCATGCACTAACCACCTGCTTTGCCATGTTCCCCGGCAGGCCAGATGACTCTGAGGACGCAGCACGTTCAGGACTCCAAGATGGGCTTTGTGATCAATGCAATATACTCCATGGCGTACGGCCTCCACAACATGCAGACATCACTGTGCCCAGGCTATGTGGGCCTCTGTGACGCCATGAAGCCCATCGACGGTCGGAAGCTCCTGGAATCCCTCATGAAGACTAACTTTACTGGGGTCTCTGGGGACATGATCTTGTTTGATGAGAATGGCGACTCGCCAGGAAGGTAATGTTGACACATTTCAGATTGATTAATATCAGATATATTTACTGTACATAGTATACACATGCACACTTGACATCAGAGCTAAGATCTCACACTTTTATTTTCGCATTTCCTGTCTTTCTGTGCTTATTTTTCAAAAATAATTTATGTTTTTTGTTTTGTATACATTTTTGAAAACGTTTAAGATTAAAGACATGAACTTTCAGGCATACAGTCTTCCTGAATGAATTTGCATTTTTGCTTGTACCATTTAAAGATATTATTTCTCGCTATAAACCACCAGACCTTCAACTGTATGTTCATAGACCATGACAGCCACCACAGCATTGCTTTCTCTCTCTCTATGGGTCTTTAAATGTCTGTGTTTGATTGAGCAATAAGCAATCATAGCAGACATGGTTCTTATATTAAGAAAGGTAAAACAGTATCAGAAATATTGTGTTGATTTTTCTGGGATTTTTTTTCATGAGAATTATTAAAAATCTGTTTCCGCATCTTCCAAATAAAGCCTTTCCACTTGCATAACAGACTAAGCTATTAATTCATACTGTGCTGCTATAAGCCAACATGATTTTAAACAAAGCTTTTTTTGCTTATAACTTGAATACATATATATATACGTACATCTATGAAATATGTTTTTCCTTTTCTGTCACATACATGCAGTATCCATATAAATGCACATTAAAAAGAGTAACGAGGTTTTTTTCTGAGTTTCTCCTCTCAGAAGATGAACAGCAAGTGTGATAGCATGCAAAGTATATTTTTCCCTATATTTCAGTAGGTAGATTCCTGCCTCATTCACTGGTTTTACTCCAGTTTGTTTGAGACAGTCTTTTCTGTATACATTGTTGGGAAGTTTTTGAAAATCTTTGCGAGGGCACTATATAAACAGGTGACTAGAGGGAAAATTGTTCGTCCTGTACACTCATTTAAATTTTGTCCTGTCCCACTAACGTGTGAAAGGAAGGCATTAACTTCCAAGTAGAGATGGGTAGGAAAGGTAAATCGATTGGCCAGAATATTTTGGCATTTCCCAAAATTTCTTCAATTTCAAAACTGATTTTTTTTTCCATTTTATTTGGAAATCTATAAAGTCAGCATTCTCCCCAAAAGAGAGCAGGACAGTCACCTACAAGGCAGTCTGTGTCTCTGGAGACACAAATTTTCAAACTCTTCAGACTCAGGCTTTAAGGAAGTGCACTGTGAGCTGGTAGGAAAACTCAGACAGAAACTGGCAGAAACCCAGGAAAATTTCAGATGGAAATTTATTTTCAGCACGGTTTTGGTGAGCAAGGTTGTCTTCCGCTAAACATTTCTATTTTTACAAATAGCAGAATCCTGAAGAAAAGTGCTCAGTCTGGATTTTTCTCACCAAATTATTTTTAAAATACTTGTCCCAAACTTATTTTAAAGGATTCCCATTTGGTTTTAATGGCGCTTAGATGCAGTGAACCGCATCATACCTTACTCTTATCTGTTTCACTCATTTTTTGCAGAAAGACGGAAGACTGCCACAAATAAACGATACGTGGCATGATAACACCAATGACAATATCTACATGTTGTAAAGAGACCTTTAGCTTTAGCTTTTCCTCATGTCAACATGCCTAACAACAATGATTTAATTCCATTTTTTGCAAGGAATTTAGTTCAATGTATTGGGTCTTTTAAAATTCATTTCTAAGAAAGACAGTGAAGGAATTACATCATGAACAATCATTTGCTCAGTCACAGTAGGACATTTGTGTTTCAGTGAAGAGCATGGGGACAAAACGTTGATTGTGCACCTCAGGGCAATGAAACTTTAGGAAAGTCCGACCTCACTGGATTCATGTGAGACACAGTAGTGTTCGGTCTACTCAAACTAATGGACTGTGTGTTGTGACAAAATGGTCCCAGAGTTTGTTTACTTTTGAAACATAGTTCTGTGTTCTTTGTTCTTCTACAATAGTCATAGAATTATAGAATGGTTCTATGGTTAGGGCTGGAAGGGACCTCAAAGATCATCTAGTTCCAACCCCCCTGCCATGGGCAGGGAAACCCTCCACTACACCAGGTTGCCCAAAGCCTCATCCAACCTGGCCTTGAACACTTCCAGGGATGGGGCATCTACAACTTCTCTGGGCAACCTGTTCCAGCACCTCACCGCTCTCTGAGTGAAAAATTTCTTTCTTATATCTAATCTAAATCTCCCCTCTTTCAGTTTAAAGACATTGCCCCTTGTCTTATCACTACACGTCCTTGTAACAAGTCCCTCTCCAGCTTTCTTGTAGGCCCCCTTTAAGTACTGGAAAGCTGCAATAAGATCATCCTGAAGCCTTCTCTTCTCCAGGCTGAACAGCCCCAACTCTCTCAGTCTGTCTTCATAGCAGAGGTGCTCCAGCCCTTGGATCATCTTTGTGGCCCTCCTCTGGACCCGCTCCAGAAGCTCCATGTCCTTCTTGTGCTGGGGACTCTTGAGTACTGTCCAACACTGTTTGCAACAGCTGGGAGATGGTGCAGTCACACTGGAACAGCTTATCTCCCCTGTTCGCTTGCTTTGATAGCTCCATCTTCACTTTGTAAAACAGAAATTTAAATCCTCACAGCTGTACTAAGGTGGTGGTGCTAAGTAGGAAATCAGAACATAAAAAGCCTTTCTGACCTAGATAGCTCAGGATTTTGATGTATAGCAAAAGGGTTTTGATATTATACAACAGATGATTAATCCCACAAGATGCTTTGAATCCTGGCCCTATTCTAAAGTCCTTTATGTATATGTTGAGCTTTAAGCAGATAGACAGTCTACTGGAGGACTTGTTTTAGCTGAAACAGACACATGGGAAAAAACAAATTAGTATAGCAGGAACAGCCACGACTTCTCAGGAACATAACTATCCGTAAATACTATCAAAACTCCAAAGAAGATATTGAGAAGGCAAGAACAGGCAAGAAAAACAACATGCTGAGGTTTTGGCTGTGCTACCAGTAGAATATGGATTCTCAGCAACTTCATGGCACTTCTGTTTTGAAACAAGTGTTTTGCACTGTGATTAGGGCACTGCTGGAAACGTGCTATCACACCATCTGCTCTCTCCTATCCTAAAGTGACAAACTGTCCCTGTATCTCAAGGAAGCTTCAGGGAACCAGTGACTCATGAAACTCCACTATCGCAATGGACTTACTGAACCTGGCTGTTACAACCAGTCCACCAACGCTGTTCTCCGCAAAGGGCTTGAGAGAGACGCAACATGTTAAGACGATAGTTTAATTTGTTAGGTTTCTTTCTAGTACTCCTCTCGGGATGTAGGCATGGAACTACTACTGGAGGGATAATTGTTTTAGTTCCCGCGGCCTGTTAATCATTGGCTGTACTTTCGTTCGTCTGCCCGTGAAACTGAATTGACAGCTTTAACAAAGCAATGCTTGGAGGAGTGTTACAATGTCCTGACGATGCTGAATAAAGATCCCACAGTAGCTTTTGGGCAAACTTTTTGGTTAGTCTGTTTAATCCTTGAACAGACTATTACTATGCCTGTGAATCTCAGAAAAAAAAAAAAAAAGAAAGTTGGTTTATAACCCTGCATAAAAGCTGGGTTTGTGTGTGTTATATCTGGATTCAATTCATTTGTGCCAATCTGGCATTCACATCTCCAACTTTGATGAAGTCATTCTCAAAGCTATGGACATTTCCTTCTTTATATTGGATGGAAAGTGAAATATTCAAAAATCCAGTAGTATCACAGATTTTTCTTTCTAGCTGTGTAGCTGCTCATTTCTTCTTTTGGAAAGACTCGAGTCATACAATATGGGTAATATCATATTTCCCATTCAATCAGGCTTCACTTTCATTTTCTTTCACAGGTTGCTTGCAGTCTTAATCCTGACCTGTGTGTGATTTCAGTATCGAATCCCTGCCATAGTGTCTCCACTGTGACATTTAGACTTTGTTTCCTGATGCAAAAACATTCTGAGATCCATGGGTGAAGAATATCATAGAAAAGTTTTATCATAAATTTTTTTTTGTCAGCCTGGGAAAAAAATTGATAATATGGTTACTGCTTGTCAGTCTTAAAAATGTTTCCTCAAAACTTGAGAGATACTTCAATATCTTATTTAAGACATTGTTTAATTTAATGAGCTGGTTCTTTTACTTATCTGTTCATTGGACTTCACCAGTTACACTCTGACAATATCACTCTTAATCCTATCCTGTCCATATGCTTTACCTTTGGGACTAATTTTGTGCCTGCTGCCAGGAAAAAGTTGGCTCCTCATTTGCAAAGCAGGCAGGTTTTTAAACCTTTGATTATGCTCATCTTCTCAGTCTATATCGTTTGCTTATTTTCCATGAGTTTCATATTGCTTAGTCAGATTACTGCAAACCTCACTAAAAAGGAGGTAAAGAAAAGGATAATATCGCCTCTTCAGGACTTGCCTAACTTTCCATGTATGCCTTACAAATAAAAAATTGGCCTGTAAGGCAGAATGTTCAGCATGCCAGGAGGCTAGAGAGTCCTAGGCTGCTCCATAGGCTTTCTATAGGACTCTGGGAGCTAAAAAGATACTAGGAGGTAGAAGGAGAAACATGAACCTGAGAACTCTGACCAGCTCCAGCTCTGCTCTTAACACTTCTGTTCCCAGATGACAAGGTGATCTGACCCAAAAGCAGGCTAGGTCTGAGGCATGAATATTCTTTCTTTTCGATACCATACTATGCAAGGAATTAAAAGTGTTCTGATCACTAAGGAATGGTATAAAAATGAAGAGGGTTGTATGGATAGGAGTGAATAGCGTTTGCTACTGCAATGCTGTAGAAGAAAAAGGAAAAAAAAACAAACAACCACAAGTCTTAGTTTCACTCTTCAAATGACTGGACTACAAGCGTACCTCTTGATAAGATCTCTTTGAAACCTCCAGGAAGTCCCAGAATCCTGGAGTCTCTGCCTGAAGAATGATGCCTGATTCCTTTCTGGATGTCACACCAAATCCCATCTTGCAGTCTTACAGCATAGGAAGTTTCTTTTGGTTCCACAGGCCTAGGTTGCTTCTGCCTCACTTCAGGAGCTTAGCTGTCTTTAGATTTCCTCTCTGAGAAGGAGCGCTTGGCATTGGGAATTGCCGTCACAGGTTTAGATGTATCTACATCTATTACAGAGGGAGCCTAGGACAGCTGAAGTCACCTATGCAGTTGGGTCCAGTGCTGAAAGTTACACAGGATGAATCTTATCTGGCTGATTTCATTGTTTTTCTTAAATAAATACAGTCATCCTCAGAAGCTTGGTCACTAAAACCCAAAGTGTTCAGGGAACTTTCATAGCGAATAGAAGAAAACAAATTGAAATAGAAAGGAAAAAAATGTTGATGATCTCACAAAAATTATTGAGACACACTCAAGAGCAAGCATAACATTTGAAATTTCACCGTATTTCAATGAGTTTGATTTTGACTGTACAGTGTCCCTTTAATTTGAAACATTTCGTGATGATTCAGCTATGTCTCTCCTTTGTGTTTCCAAAGGTATGAAATCATGAATTTCAAGAAAATGGGGAAGGACTACTTTGATTATATCAATGTTGGCAGCTGGGACAATGGAGAGCTGAAAATGGATGATGATGAAATATGGCCAGAGAAAAATATTATCATCAGATCTGTGTGCAGTGAACCCTGTGAAAAAGGCCAGATAAAGGTAAATATTTTCTCCATTTACTTCAGTTGGGCAGCATCTACAGCCTTGAAATTTGAAAGCAAGTTTTTCCTGACTCTTACATGGAGACGGTATCCCTGACCTTAGTTAAAGTGTACAGACTTATGTATTTAGTTCTTACTCGTATCATAGTCATCTCGCTATTTTCACAAGTTGCTATTTTCTTGTACTCCTATGTCTGCGAACTGCTGACTTTTTTACTCTTATATTCCAAATCCTTTAGAACAGGTATCGTTTGTGTTTGTTTTTGTTTTTGTTTTCTGCATATTGTTACAGCATCTGATTCAGTGGGGTGCAAATCCCTGACTGGGACTTGTCAGTACAATTGCAGGTAAATTAGAAATAATAATTACTACTAATCCAGTGCTAGACATAGACACCTAAACTGGAATATTATTATTTAGACCTTAAATTTGTGGTATCATCAGAGAAGATCAATAACTACCTCTACTTAGACCTTCAGGAAATGTAAGTAACACCTTTTTTTAATCATACCTGTTTACTGCTTCTTTGTTTCCTAGTGTTTTGATTGTTCCTTCCTCCCTTTCCATGTCACAGTAAGCAAGGAGAGTAGATGAATCTGTCATATGTTAATTGCACTCTATTAGCCTTGAGCATCCCATGACTCAATCCCATGCTGCAGAACAGCTAAAAACAGCTAAAAAGTCTTTAACTTACCTTGCAGTCATCTCTATAAAAGCCTGTGGAGTGAGGGCATGGGCATGGACAACGGAATGGCTCAGACTGAAAAAAAGCAGCTTTAATCTCTGACATGTCTCATTGAAAGCTGGATCATTTTTCTCCTGTGTTAATACAGCATGCCTGCAAAACTGGGAAGCAGCTATAGGGAGGGATTGCAACACAAAGTGAAACTCTTCAGTCTGCATTTTCCAGAGTTTTAGGACACAATTGCCATATTTTATTCACTAACTGGTCTTTGGCAGAGTCAGTAAGAGAGTTTCATCAGACCAAATGTGTATGTCTTCAGTGTAGGCACATACAGTTATATCAGATTTCCAAACTTTATTTACAATCAATGGAAATAAATATATTACTGCAGATCGGGTATCATCTCATTCTCCTGTAGGCTTTGAAAACAGTTAAGATGAATCTTGGTGTAGAAATAGGACTTTCTCTTCACTGATGGTACAAGACACTCAGCTGGGACAGTTGGTTCAGATGAAAACATACCTTCTGCAGACACATAAAGAAAGGTGGGATGAATTACTCCCACAGTAACTAAAGAGAGGTCTGATGTTAGCCTGCTCCAGCCACAAAGTCACATACGTGAGAGGACAGAGATGGACAAATGGATAATAACTTCAGAACTGGGCAACTCTGAGTTCCTTTATGATCTGTTGCCCTGACACAGGTGATGGAAACTATCTTGTGACCTTCATTAACAGTCTCCTTCCACCTTCTGACCATGCTCTCAAGGATTTTCCCAAGAGGATTCTTCACTATGAAGACAGTTCATTACACACTTAGACACATGATTGAAGTCCGGCATCTGAAATGTTCTTTATGCTCTTTGTTAGGTTATTGATTATAAATCTTGAAGTTTACTTCACAGTCCTTTATCTTCACGGTCTCCACAGATGATGGGGAGAGCTTGACTCTGCAAGCTTTGTGGTGGTTTTCCTGCAGAATTCTGTGGGACTATGTTATTATGCAGGAATCTGAAACATTCAGTGTAATGATATCCAACACTCGGCACGTTTGGTACATCCATCTGAAGGACTTGATAAAATCCAAACACAACTCAACTCTATACGCTTGAAATAGTGCAAACGTATGATTATTTAAATAAATGCAGATTCAAAGGATTGCCCAGATGACAAGCAAAAGGGAAAATATTTTTTTTAAAGATAATTATTTTTGTTAAAAGGGACAGAAAAGATTGTTTTAAATTCAAGTACTACAAAACAAAATTGTTCAAGAAATGAAAAATAAAAATATGAATAGATGATTAAGCAATTTAATACAAAAAGAAAACGAAAAAGGTCTGACCTGATTCTGAGTAGCGGAGAACAATTATTTTGATTCCTGGAGAAGGATATGTAATCCTTCTCTGGATTAAGGCCCAGTTAGTGCTGGGTAAAAAATAAACAGCGTATCAGTTTTTTGACAGATTTGTCAAATTCCAAGTATTTTATAGAACATGTTGATTTGGTGAAAAGTTTAAAAGAAAAGTGTAAATGAATTGTTTTGATAAAAAGTTTAGGTGTTTTGATCACAACATATGGTTTCTGTTTTGCCATTTCAATTTCTTGAGTATTTTATACATTGTAAAATTATAGATTTTTATAGTTGTAGAATCATAGAACAGTTTGAGTTGGAAGGGACCTTAAAGATCATCTAGTTCCAACCCCCCTGTCATGCGCAGGGACACCTTCCACTAGGCCAGGTTGCTTAAAGCCTCATCCATCCTGGCCTTGAACACTTCCAAGCATGGAGCATCCACACCTCCACTGCGTAGCCTGTTTCGGTGCCTCACCACCCTCATTGTAAAAAATTTCTTTGTTCTATCTAATCAAAATCTCCTAAAATCATAGAATCATAGAATGGTTTGGGTTCAAAATCTCCTAAAATCATAGAATGGTTTGGAGCTCAGGCTCCATAGCTGTGGTGTACACATACCTCAGCTTGACTTCTCCTGGCCCCAAGACTTGTTTCATGAGTGTGCGTGATCGCCTTGCATATCCCACACTTAACATAGAATCGTAGAGTGGTTTCGTTTGGAAGAGACCTCAAAGATCATCTGGTTCCAATCCCTCTGCCATGGGCAGGGACACCCTCCACTACACCAGGTTGCTCAAAGCCTCATCCAGCCTGGCCTTGAACACTTCCAGAGATGGGGCATCTACAACTTCTCTGGGCAACCTGTTCCAGTGCCTCACCACCCTCTGAGTGAAAAATTTCTTCCTTATATCTAATCTAAATCTCCCCTCATTCAGTTTAAAGCCATTGCCTCTTGTCTTATCATTACCCATCCTTGTAAAAAGTCCCTCTCCAGCTTTCCTGTAGGCCCCTTTTAAGTACTGGAAGGCTGCTAGAAGGTTTTCCAGGAGCCTTCTCTTCTCCAGGCTGAACGATCCCAACTGTTTCAGCCTGTCTTCATAGCAGAGGTTCTTCAGCTCTCTGATCATCATAATGCATCAAGTTCACCAAAATGTGTCTATAAATTAGTAAAAGCTTTCTAAGAATTCATTTTCCCAGACTCAAGAAATTTTGTCATTTGTTTAACTTTTCATTCTAATTCAAAATTAAAGAAATCTCAAGATATGAATTCTTCTGGAGGACAGATACTTTATTTTGCAAGTAGATCTAGTTTCAACAGTTGTAGAGCAAATCACTTATGCTCCCATGGCCTCTCTGCAAGTTTAGCTATTCAAGTGTGGCTTCTTTTCCTTTCATACTCTACAATTTAAAAAACAAAGACAAAAATTGAAGTTTTTGAATCCTCATATTGCTGATGAAAAAGATATAATTCAGCTTTTCATTGCAGTATTGCAAAGAGTAATCCAGATCTTTTTGGTTATACTCCTTTGCATTTTATTAAAATTTCAATAAAGACATATGGTTTTGAAGCCACCTTCTAAATTAATCATTGCAAAAGATACATAAGTCAACCTACTTCCTATGCTATAATTGGGAGTATTTGTTTATAAATTGTTTGGAAAGAGCAGAGAGACTGGGAATACTTTCTTTCAAAAGAAAGACATCTTGACAAGAAGCACAGATGTTTTCAGTGCCCAGAGTTGATAAATAAGGATCCTGAAAAATCTGCATCTCAATCATGAGCTTGTAATAACATTTGGCAGTAAATTTTAAAATGAGAAATCAGGTCAGATGTTAGAACAGATAAAGATAGCATTCTCACTCTTAAATGTTAATTAGAAATTCCATAATTAAATAATTCTGGAAAATGTATGTTCAGTTTGATGTCTGGAAAAAAATCCGTTTTAACAAGCCACACATAATGATGTGTGAAATATATTAGATGAAAAATAATCACCTAAAAATTTTGGATAATGAACACTGAGGGAAATAACGCTGTTGAGATGATTCCCTGTAAGGACCACAATGGAGTGAATTATATGCTTTGAATATTGTGCACTGGCTTCTGTAGGTAGATTGCCATCTATGAATTATTGAGTTTTTCTAATTCTAAGAGAGGAAAATACGTCTTACTGTCATTCTGTACCTCCACTTCTGTGGGTTGATTACTTTCTTCTGGTACATACATGCTGGGAGAACTGAGAATTTGTGTCATATTTTGTATAAGCAAACATATCATGAAAAGGAGCTACCTTTAAAATAAAATTTAAAAATCCTCTATTAAAAAAAAAAAAAAGATTAAAAAATTAATTTAGCAACTGGGGAAGCATGAATATGCATTTATGCTACTAAACCGAATGCCAATTTTTGTCTCAGGTGATCCGTAAAGGAGAAGTGAGTTGCTGTTGGACCTGTACTCCTTGTAAAGAGAATGAATATGTATTTGATGAATACACATGCAAAGCCTGCCAGCTTGGCTCCTGGCCCAACGATGACCTCACAGGTAAATGAGTTGTGGCTGTGCTTAAGTTGTCAATGAAAATATTCATCTGCTGAGCTGAAGAAACAAATGCCAGATTCAAGTGAGTATGAGGACTGTTTTGATCAGATTGAACCCAGGGATAAAGCTGAAATTTGAACTGAGGCTGATACTTGTCTTCTCACCTGAACCTGATCCAGGAATCATTGGTGTAACTCAGCTGCTTTCTGAAGACCTGAGTTACTAGGTCTAGAAATAAAAAAAAAAATAGACCTCATTTTGTATTCAACACTGTCCTAACATCTAGCCAGCAGTGCAGATCTTGCCTTTCCCTAAACAGGTAGGGAAATTAAGTCCTTGTCAGAGATGTTATTAAGGGAGGTCCAATACTAGAGAGTTTTATTTTTCTCCCAAGTAGATACAGAAAAGTGTTGCAATACTTTATTTTTTCATCTGAAAAGTTATGAACTAGTTGTTGCAATTACTGCTGCTAAAAACATGAATACTCCAAACAGATTTAGGTTTTCAATAGCTCACCAGAGAGTCTGCTAGAATATAGGGCTCATGCTTTCCTCGCCATGGCGTAGATCTCTATGCTCTTGCAGAAAATCAGTTTGGCTGCTTTGGAGGCAAATTACTCCAGCACTTGTAACCCACAACCTCTCCTCTTTATGTCTAATAAACAGAATTCAAGTGTTCAGATCCTCAGAGCACACATCACTTCAGAATGTTGTTCAGGGATCAGGTTCTCATTGTGCCAGACTCTGTACAGACAAGAGGAGACTTTTTTTTCCAGAAAAGCTCACACACTTGGTATACATATCATTCCTATGAATGAAGGGAGAAATTATTTAGGTGAAAGAGAGGGAAGACCAAAGAAAAAACAGTTTGCTGGATAAAGTTATGTAAGTGGAAACGTGTCAAACAAGTCTTGGCCTATAGACAGACTTACATATATAAAGTAAATTCTTTCCTGGTAATGAAAGTTGCATTGCTGTAATAGATGAGCTAGGATTCTAATCACTGCAAAAATATCATTTAGCCATGGAAATGAAGGGGTTTCAGAAAATATCAAACATGAAACTATCCCTAAGATAAAGAAAAAAAATGACTGAGAAAACAGAAACAGCAATAAAATTGATTTGCAAGTGCTGCTCCAGCCCTGCTCCCTCAGCCTTGCCTCCACAGGCACTCAGCAATCAGCCAGCAAAGCCCTCTCACCTCATGAAAGCTTTCTTGCGTCAGGAGAAAAAGGGGAAACAAAGAGACCTTGTCCCACGTGTCCCTTTCCCCCAGAGCAGAGCACTGCGGGTGCAGTAAAAGCTCAGATTGGCATTCCAGCTGAACCATCCAGGAGCCTCCAAAATGCACTTTGCAGGGACTAGGACACTGCACCAGGCTGGTCAGTGGGTGAAGGTCAACTGGTGCAAGCGATCAACTCTTCAGCCACTGTGGATCTTGTCCAAGATGTAGCAGATTGTAGCTTACCCAATGTAGATCAGCTGAAAAAGGAGTTACTATAAGCCAGTTAGGAGGGAACCTGCTTCAAGTGCCTCGTTAGACCAACAGAGGACCCACTTCTGAAACACCAGTGACAGGAACTACCCATTGACCTGGTGAAGTTTAGGCAATTAACCTCTAAGCAGTGTACACAAGGCGAAGTGAACAGCCACCAGGATGGCCTTCAGGCTCTGTGCTATGGGCTGACTCCCCCATAAATGCCCCATGGCCTTACCATGCCACAGGCAAGGCATCAGTCTGGGCTTGTGGGAGGATTTAGCCTCTGAAGATCTTAATTTGCCCTCAGGATGGAAGAGCAGGTGGGGGTGGCACCTTGAAAACTCTTGTAGGATGAGTCAATGATTTGCCACCCAGCTCTGATCGTTAGTAGTTGTCCTCAGTCAATCCAATTGTTTTGTGTATTATGTGAGCTGTTACATTTTGCAACTCATTCATCTGGCTTTAGACATGCATTTTACACCTTTATAGGGACCAAGGCTGCTATGTACATAAAACAACCCCTAGACATCAGTGCCAAGCAATGTTCCTCAGGAGATCTCGCCTTTGTTCCTCAGCCAGGAGCAAATTCAGCAGGCACTATTTGGAAACCAAGTCTGCCCTTGGCCTCCATCAGCACAGGTGATACAATATGCACTCCTGGTAACAGGACGCCCATTACCATAGCTTCATACCTGTGTAGTTCCCACCTAACTTACTATTCACATGATGGCTGGATGTTGTCTTATGTAGCTTTGTATCAGAAATACATATAAAAAAGCCTGTTCCCAGCTTATCCATATAATATATTGACCTGTATTTTAGTGGTCATATTTATTGTCCCAATTTTTGCAGCTTGTAACGAAACTGCCTGTCATTCTTGCTTACAGCATAAGACTTAGTAGTGAATGTGAATTAAGAATAAGAAGATGGAGATGCATTTTGTATTCTGACAAAAAAACTTCCCTTTAGTTTTATAAAGCATACACCGGTCTCCTTGGAACGTCCCTATATCTGATGCTGCAGCAGTCTATGTTTCTTTGCTGCTTGATAAAGCCATATCTCAGTTGATGTCAGCTCCACAAGGCTACACATATAAAAAGCTCATTGGAATAAGTCTTCCTTGGATGATCACCTTCAGATGAGAGTCCTGGAAATGTGTCAGCCACATGCGTGAGAAGACTATCAACATGGAGCTGCACCTCGCTGTTTGCCAGAGATCTGAACTTGGATAAAAACATATTTGGAATCCTTTCTTGGCTCACACAGCAAAACATCGTTCCATCTTTCTTATGCTCAAAGACTAGCATCAGTTTTGTGCCACAAACTTCACTATATGATATGTGTGATGGCAGGGATGTTGTTCACAGAAAGGAAGAGAGATTAATACTTTTTTTCAGCTACTTGTGGAATATCAGAATTCAGATGCAGGGGAGAAGACTACGTGTAGGATAATGAAATTATTCTTGGAAAAGAAAAAGACATTTGAGATTTGAAGTACAGAAAGATGCAGGAAGTCCAAAGGTAGTGGAAAAGACAAGTGGGAGGAAGAATTTCTCTTGACTAAATCATTTACTGGAAAATATCTTCATCTAGAAGTGAAGTTAAGGTGAGAAAGGGAATGTGTATCTGCCTATATTTTATTTCCTCATAAATTTCATCCTCATTACTTGTGCATACAACATTCTCCAGGGACCAGGCTCCTCCTTGGACACAAAAAATAATCATTCTCTTCCTCTTCTCCAAATTTATCTGTACCACCCTAACACATACCTCGAGCAATTTTCTTCCTCCTGCTTTAGTATGAAGATGTGCTTTCTGATCTACTGTAACTCCTCTTCTTCCCCATGCATTGTGTGAGCAGCATTCATATATTACAGTACCATTTCACACATTAGTATGGCCAGCATGGCTGAGCCATATATCCAATTAGAGCAAGGAGAAACTCATGGTTTTAAGTCCAGAAGTATATGTCAACCCCTCCACTATTCCTCAAAGCCCTTCTTTGCATTATTTTCTCAGTGGAGGGAAGAGAATAAATGCCAAGCATGTTTAGATACAAATAAAAAGAATTTCTTAACACTGAGGCCCAAACTTTGATGCAATGAATTTTTCAGTAGTTTGATGGAATGGCTTTTTGGTTCTTCAAGAAACTCAAGTCACTTTGACGACATGACCTTCTGCATTCAAAAAGGATGCCTTGGAAAGACCACAGAAGTTTTGTTCAGCATCTCAGAGCTTTTTCAGTGGATGTAGGAACATCTTGGTCCAGTTATCCCTAGTGTTTTTTTAAGGACATTTTTGAGGTGGGAAAGAGGCAATTATTCCCTCTTTCTGTGATTCCAGGACAGCATACAACAATAACAGAAACAAAAGTTTTGTCTAGTGACCTCAGGGACTGCAAAGAAAGTAGATGATATTAATTTCAGTGACACCTGGATTATCTTCAGGCTGTATTGACATTTTTCTCATTCTCTGTGTACTGCAAATACGCTGGCTATTTGATTTTCTTAATTAGAATCTGATGAAAACAGGAGCTGAAATAATTTACAGCACTTGAAATGTTTTATATACCATTCATGGATAAGGCTAAATATGAGAAATGCATATTTTTTTTTACAAAAAAGCTTTCACCTAATAAGATACAGTAAAAGAAGGATAGCGGCATCAGTGTCTTGTCTGCCAGGTAAGAGCTGGAGTATCCAAACACCTCTTGAATTGAAAGCACTGAAAAAAGGGTGCCCACCTCTAAGTGACACACCAGCTATTTCAAAGGGCTCTAACAACACTGATGCCATATCCGCTTTGGCTTGTACCGATCTGGATTCCAAGGATTGCCTCCCTCATCCTGAGGGCACTGCTTGTACTGTCAGCAAGAGTCACAGTAAACAGACACTACGGTGAGCTGCTGCTGTCCTGGCTCCCGGCATGGTCTGGGACATCCCACTGCCATGGTTCATGCACACCACCTGTGGGGCCAAGGACACGGGCGATGCTCGATGTCGGATCCCGGCAGATCTCCACAAGGGCTCGGCTGGCTCTCCCTGCAGCTTGCTGTGGTAGAAGCCACAGAGATCTGAGGCTTGGGCATCTCTCTCAGACTGGATCCTGCCCTTCCCCAAGTGAAAAAATCATTCATCTCTTGCTCAAAATGTTTTCAAACAGTGGCTGCTTGTTGCCATCAAACTGCTTTCTTGTGTTGTTGCTTACAATAAAGTTACAGCCATTGGTAATTTCAGCAATTGTCTGACAGTTGTGAACACGAGGCAGAACACAATTTAGCCTGTGCTGACATTGATTTTGCTGCTGAAACATCACTAGGGTCTTGCTTTTGACCATAATTGGGAAGGCTGTAATTCAGACTGAGGATAGAAGAAGGACAATTTTTATCTGCTTGGTTTTAGCCTTATAAATGCACATCAGCAGAGATAGTGTTCAATTTTCACCCTGATTTTCTGTGCCCTATACTTCTCTTTCCTTTTATTTCTTATTCCAAATGAAATGTAACCATTTTCATAAGTCACTCT